TTTGCAACCCTTTTGAGACAAATGTATCTCCGTATCTGTCATCTTTGGATCCACATGCGAGCAGGTTTTCTCAGACATCAACTACATGAAGTCCAAACATCACTGTTTCCTGACTGATTACACCCTGCAGTCCTGCATGAATATTAAAGTGACTTCTTACATCTCTGATGTTGAGAAGCTCTGCAGTGATGCTGAGAAACGGAAATCACACAAATCACACATTTCATATGCTCTTATTTGTAATAAATAAAACAAAGGAGTTGCCAGCACATTGAAATGGATTAAAGTCATATTTATATACAAATAGCTTTCATGATTATTCTTGTTTTAAAATTATAGCGGCTCTTTTCCCCCAGTATTCGCAACAAGACGAAACTTTGAGAAAATACTGTCTGTTTCACATCTGGCTTCATTAGTAGAACCAGAGCCCTTTAAAGGGAAATGAGTGTTGCAGCTTCCTGTGAGTCTGCTGGGGGTTCAAGGCAAACCAAGAAATTATACTGCTTTGAAGACCAAATTTAAAAAACAAAAATGTTTCCTTCTTTTTAAACAGATAAGATCTTGGAGGTTTGCAAGAAAGTGGAGCATAAAAAGAGAAAGGATAAAAAGGTTGTGCAAGCTAAAATGACACAAAGGCGCTCCTCTGAAGAAAAGACACTTTGTAATTTAGGTTTGCGGTGAGTTCATGCGACTCCTGCAACATAGGAGCTCATAATCTGTTAGGGAGTCGTCAGCTTTGTGGTAGAAAATGCAGCAGATTGGTTTTGGTCATAAAACCATGAGAGACCGAAGACGTTCTGAATCTTAAAGACTGGTGACCGAGCTCCCAGCGCATTACTTTTAATTCACAAAACGAAACCACGGGAGCGTCACAGACCATCATACCATCAAACGCAATGCTGAATATATATCCTGCATATCATGCGACTAAATATACACTGTTTTTGAATGAATGGATGCATTAAAAGTGAAAGATTGTTTATATAACATGAGGGCCTGGAGACACTGCTGCCCAATGTGACCGCTACGAAGAATCTGGATCATGTTAGTGGTGACTTTGAGTGTTTTGCTGATCAAAGAAAAAGGCACATGTGACCCATTTCTAGCAGAGGTCAAACATCAGTATAATGAAAAAAAAAAAAAAAAAAAAAAACCTTCAAAAGCAGTCAAAATGAGACTATGAGAATTTAAATAGACAAGGAAACGGTGATGCAGAGAAAAATACTAATTTATTAACTTATAAAAGGTCATTTGTGTTATATATCAAGTACATGAGTGTTTTGTTATACAGTTGTACGATAAACAAGGCTGAAAAGTGCCATGAATTCCTGCAAATTTGCAAAAAGAAATTGTGCTGATTTTCTTTGTTTTAAAAAAAACAACAAGTTTTTCCCCTTTAAACCATAAAGGAAATGAATGAAAACTAAATGAAAAATACCTGCTGCAATTCTTATAGCACAAATAAAAAGACTCAAAAGTCATTTTTAGGCTACGTCCACACTAATGCGTTTCCGTTTGAAAACGCATGGTTTTCTCTCCGTTTTGGCCTCCCGTCCACACGGAGACGCCGTTTTCCTCAAGGAAAAACGCAGCGTTTTGAAAACGCTCTCGAAAACGCATACATTTCAAAACAGAGCTGCCCCGTCGCAGTGTGGACACTCGAAAACGCAGACTTTCTAAAACGATGACGCATTTTAGTCATGTGATGCAGACAGCGGAGGGCATTATACAGCAGTTGTTTTGTTTGCTCTCAATTTTGACAGCCCTAAAAAAAGATTAATATCAGTTTGTACATGCTCCAGGTAGCTTTTCTTCAAATTCTTTAATTCTCACTCGCTTTCACGCATGCGCAGGACTGGAAGCGTTTTGTGCTGTTTTAATGTGGACGCACAACTTTGTGAAAACGACTGAAAACGCTAGTGTGTGTGTGTGTGTGTGTGTGTGTGTGTGTGTGTGTGTGTGTGTGTGT